AAGTCCTTTGCATTCTGGTACTGCTTCTCCTTCTGTCTTTGCAGAGAACCTCGGAATACATTCCGCGTGTCTGTCTGCCATCTCTGTCCCTCTGCCTCTTCCAAAGCACACTTCTTGAACATCCTTAACTTGAGCTTTCAAAACACCTTTAATTAACACTGAGGTCCCACAGCTGCCAAGTCCTTAATTTGCAGGATGACTTCCCTTATCTTTTAAGTATCCTTAGGGCTGCCAGTTAGCTCAGTTGATCAGAGTGTAGTGCTGGAAGTATCTTTACATTGCTTTTCTGGGTGGTTTTCTCCTTTCCCCATCTGACTGGGAGAGCCCTGAAACCGAAGACTTTCTCCCCCAGCAGTTTCCGAGCTCCCAGAGGCAGAGACTTGGTTAATCTTGTAGATCGCTCAGGGGAAGAACTTTTTACTTTATAAATCCTGGTCTGATACTAGCTCTGCACACTGTGGGTGCTCAATAAATGTTGATTGACTGAGTAAACAATGAACGTAGTCCCCTGGAGTGTCATATTCCTCCTTTCCACAGGGAGAAAGTAATAACATTAGGCAGAGCAGGCTGGATCTCTTAATGTGATTACCTGGGATTTGTGGGCCAGTGACTCTGTCCCCCAACTTTATTGGGTACATCCATCTCGACAGAATAGATATTACCAAACAGAGACCACTAATGCTGTTGGCCAAATGATGGGCTATCACTAATTCCCTTGACCCTATTAATCTTGATTCTATCGCACTGAAGCTGCTGCGTCCAGTCCAAGATAGGGGGAGAACACAGCACAGCTGTGGTAGTGATTGTACTGACATCAGCGTAATGTATCCAAGTTCAACAGTGTTTAACTCGCTCTGGGTTTGTATTTGAGACATCCTTCATGCCGCAAACGATAATTTGAGATCTAATTCACAATGCATAAAATGCATCCATTTAGAGTATGTAACTCGGCAGGGTGCGGTGGCTCATGACTGTAATCCCAGCACTTTGGGAGGCTGAGGCAGGGGGATCACTTGAGGTCAGGAGCTTGAGACCAGCCTGGCCAACATGGTGAAACCCGTCTCTACTATAATACAAAAACTAGCTGGGTGTGGTGGCACACACCTGTAACCCCAGCTACTCAGGAGGCTGAGGCAGAAGAATCACTTGAACCCGGGAGGTGGAGGTTGCAGTGAGCCCAGATCATGCCACAGCACTCCAGTCTGGGTAACAGAGTGAGACTTCATTTAAAAAGAAAAAAAGGTATGTAACTTGATGGTTTTTAGTATATTTGGTGGTGTAACCATCTCCACAATCAAGTTTAGAACGTTTTCTTTACCCTCCCAAAAGAAACTCCATACCTATTAGCAGTCAGTCTCCATTTCCCCCAACCCCCAGCCCTAGGAAACCAACCTATTTTGTTACTACAAATTTGCCTATTCTGGACATTTCAAATAAATGGAATCATACAATAATGTGGTCTTTTGTGACTGGCTTTTTTCACTTGGTATAGTTTCAAGGCTCATCCATATTGCAACATATATGACTACTTCCTGTTTATTGACAAATAATATCCCGTTGTATGGATATACCATATTTTATTTATCCATTCATCAGCTGATAGACATTTGGGTTATTTCTACTTTTAGCAAGTTATTTCTCCATGTTTCAGCTTATTCATCCATAAAAATGAGTTAACAGCTGCCTTGTCTTGGAGGATTATGAGAGGCACACAGGGAATATGTGAAATACATTCTAAACTATAAAGTGGTACAAGAATGTAAAGATACTTTATTACTTTAATTTTTTCAGAGATAGGGTATCAACTCTGTGGTCCAAGCTGGAGTGCAATGGTGCAATCATGGCTCACTGCAGCCTCAAACTCCTGTACTCAAGGGACCCTCTTGCCTCAGCCTCCCCTGTAGCTGAGGCTACAGGTACATGCCACCGTACCTGGCTTTTTTTTTTTTGGAGAGACGAGGTCGTGCTATGTTGACCAGGCTGGTCTCCAACTGCTGGCCTCAAACAATACCAGCATAGGGTATTATAGGTGTGAGCCATCACACTGGCCTAAAGACTTTTTTTTTTTGAGATGGAGTCTCACTTTATCATCCAGACTGGAGTACTGTGGCGCATCTCAGCTCACTGCAACCTCAGCCTCCCAAGTAGCTGGGATTACAGGCAGGCATGCCCACCACACCCAGCTTTTTTTTTTTTTTTTT